GTTTTGATCTCCGGCTCAGAGCCTCCCAATGCCTGTCGAAGGGGGGCTGTGCCTGCAAACTTGCAAAGAACTTTTCCCACCCCCAAGGATTGAGCTGACTTAATACAAAGTAATCACCTCTCCCCAAAGAACATGAGCGCTGCAAGAAGCCACAGGCTCCATGTGGTTTCAAAAGCACCCTCCTTTCCCCCAAGTTTCAAGTTATAGATTTAAAAACCAAACCAACCCACCAACGCCCTTAAGTTGAATGCTTGTTTTGATCTCCCCGCGCCTGTCCAAGGGGGTTGTGCCCGAAAACTTGCGGATTTGCGCTCTTAAACATGCAAAGGAACTCCCCCCCTCCCCCCCCAGGATCGAGTTGGTCTAATAAAAGATCTCACGTCTCCCCGAAGAACCTGAACGCTGCAAGCAGCCAGGGGTGACTTCAAAAGCACCCTCCAGCCCCCAAGTTTCACGAGTTAGATTTAAAAACCCCCAACCAAACAACAACCCCCGAAGCTGACTGCTCGTTTGGATCTCCAACTCGAGTCTCCCCACGCCCGTGCAAGGGGGGTCGCGCCCCTTAAACTCGCAAACAACTTCCCTCCCCGCAGGGATCGAGTCGCTCCGACCCGTGCCCCCTTTTCCTCTCTCTCGCAGGGCTGCAAACAAACAATGCGGCGGCGGCGGCGGCCTGTGGCAGGGCGGAGCAGGCCGGCAGCCCACGAAAGGTCACCCGCCCCGCGGCTGCAAAACTTTGCAAGTTTGAGCCCGGGGCGCGGCCGCCTCCCCTGCCCTCCCGGCCGGCTCTTACCCTTCTTGGCTTTGGGCGAGTGCCTCTTGCTGCGGTGCTGGGCTCGCTCCTCCTCTAGCGCGGCGGCGATCTCGGCGTTGTCTTCCCCATTGTACCAGACGAGCAGCTCCTGGCCCGGCTCGATGGGCTGCGCGGGGCAAAGACACAAGCGCGACAGCGGTCAGGTCCTAGGGCCGGGCCGGGCCGCCAGCGGCTGGACGCGGCGCCCGCCGCATACTTCCGACCCGCCTGGCTCG